TTGAGAATATACACGCTCAGATGTAGAGAGAGAGACATTCGATACTTAAAAATATTTTATTAAAATCAGAACACAACTATAAAGTTTGAAATCCTTTTGGGCCTATTTTCTTGAAAAAATAATTTAAGTTAAATATCTAATTTTTAATTTTTTAAAAATTAAATATCTAATTTTTTATTTTTTAAAAATTGAATATCTAATTTTTAATTTTTTAAAAATGAGATATTTGAATATTATTTATCAAAATCGCACTACATGATTCTCACATTCTAACATTAAAGAATCTTAATTAAAATATTTCAATATAATACACTTACAGCTATTCTCTTTCTCTCTTCCTCTCATCTTCATCAGAGTAATCTACTCACGATGTTACATCGATGCTCCGTTCATTAATAACTAACTGCTGCATTGATATTTAGACAACTTTACTATACTATGATATGAAAACAAATAAAGATATTTGTGAATCAAAATATGTAGATTGTCCCCACTTTCGCAAGAAACGAGTTTCATTCCAAAAACAAAGAAATAACCAAGATATTTCGCGAATTCTTTGCACAAAACAAACAAAAAATATTGTAATTATCGTATAAAATACATCTCATGCATTTGATATGCAATCAAAATTAATATAACTCTGCAAACGAAATATTAGTAATTTAAGAATTGATTAAAGTATCTAGGAAAGATATATATATAATTTTTAGGCATTTTTAAAAATGTAATTAACCTTTATTAATGTTACAAAAATTTTCGTGTAACAATAGCAAAAATTACGCATTTTTACAGATATATAAATTTCTTTCATTAATTTATATATGTTTGTTACTTGATCATACATACTTAAGAAAATTAAAATTGAATTGTATTATTTCAAGAAATCATGCAAATATAAATTTTTAAGACGTCTCGTAAATGCAGATTTTATAAAAAGTAACTTATTTAAGAAGAAAGAGAAATTGAAGAGACAGATAAAGAGAGTCCGAAGAGAGAAAAATGAAGACGGACAAAGATTGCAAATTTAAAATTATTAAGTGAGAAAACTAGCAGATAAGAGTCAAAGCACAGGTATTGGGTGCGCGAATTTATCATTTTTAAATTTTATTTAACAATATTATTTAACTAAATTTTATTAAACAAGATTATTTAACAAATATGCATTAAAAATGTACGTTTTGGACCGTTTCTTGGTCCATCTTCAGCATGGATATAAATATATAAAGATTAAATTGTGATTAAATTGATTTTAAAACTTGAGATACACAATATTTGTTGTTGCAGTCAAATTTCAAATTAAAATTAATAATCAGAAAGAAAGGCTTACTCGCGTAGAATCTGTATAAATTAGTGGACAATGTCTAAATGCCATCGCTACACATATAATATAATAAGGCTAATAAATAATAAGATAATAATAGGAATTTATTACTATAAATTTTATTACTATTTTAAATCTCTATCTCTTTCTTACACAGTGCAGTATATTTAAAAAAAAAGCATTATTAAAATGCAATACATATATTTTAAAAAATCTTATAAATGTAAAATTTTTATCATCTCATAATGCAAAATATCGAAAAATTATTAAAATAAAAAAAAATTGTAAAAACAAAAAACCTAAAGAGACAAAATAGTGAAAACAAATGAAAAATGTTAATTTAACATTATTGTCTGATCTTATTAGGTAACGGGAGTTTACAATATTTCTTGAAAGCTATGACTCCACCATGTGACATTCTATTCAGATTAGCAAGTTAATAAAATAATATTAGACAAAGCTTAAACGGTTTTCAATTCAAATAATATTGAAAGAGAGCCATTAAAGTCGCTAGTCATAAATCTTTAAAATACTAAAAATCGAAAGTTTAGAAAGAATTTTCTAGAAAAATGTCGAACATGTTTTCAACCATTGTTTGTATTGATAGGTACAAAGAAAGAAAGATCTTTGTTCTTTTCGTGTGTCCTGATTGGTCCTTGGTCATTGGTCGTTGGTCATTGGTCATTGATCATTGGTCAAAATTAAAGCATTTGAACTCGGAAAAAGACTCTACCTACGGTCTTAGATGAACTTTTAAGACAGTGCTCGTAGTACACGCATTGCGATAAGACCAAGAAAAAGTTATAGCTGATATTAGTGAAATTAATGACATAAAGCCGTTAAATAACGTTTATTGTAAGCTCTTTTAAGTGTATTGTTTAATTTTTTTGTGATGGCTACAATAAAGCAGTTGCCTTACGACGTGATTGCTCACATTCTGGGAAATAAAAGCATCAACAGCGAAGATCTAATGAGATTCGGCTCCACGTGCAAAAGGTTTCAACAATTCACACATGACAACAAATTGTGTGAAAAAAAATATTATCAGAGGTATTTTATTTTTAGAAAGATTGTATATTAATTTTACTGGGTTAATTTTCGTAGCTCAATGGAATATCTCCGCAAACACTAATAATTAACAAATAGAGTAAAAATTACTGTGTTGTTCTTTTTTTTAAATTTAAGTTGTGTCTAATGCTTTTTACTGCATATTAAAACTGCTCCTGATGTTACAATTTAATACAATTTTGGTAAAAAATCAAGATCTAGTAAAGCCAAAATCTTCATGCATTTAAAAGGCTCGACGAGTCATACTAACGACGATAACCTAAGTCAATCAATTCCAAGTTTCGCGCCGTTTGATAAAAATAGCTTGCTATTGCTCGTAGCTAATTATGCACATTGTGCATATATATGTACCGTACAAATTGCTATCCATTACTATTGTGATAATTATAATTTGATTAAAAGAGTTAATCATATCTTTCTTTTAAATAAAAGAATCTATACTGTTATTTAGAATTTTTTAATTTGTTCCAAATATTAATATATATGTGATTATAAAATTTACATGTACTTTAAAAAGTATATTTTCTAAAATTTATTACGCACTGATGTATATTATAGCGTTGTTTAATATAATTTTTGAGAATTTTTTTTCTTAATTTTAGCTGTCCTACTGCGGAAAAAAAGTATAACAGAGAAAAACAGAAGAAAATATTTCATCATATCAATTTCAAAGAAATAATAAAAGCAGGGTTATATTGTACCCAAATGTTAAAATATTATATGCTTGTAATGTCGAGAAATAGATTACGTGATAGTGACAAAAAACAATTGGAGCGTCTTCTGCGTTCAATTGCTAAAAATTCCATGACGTATTATTTTGTGTGGGATGAGATAAATAGAATTTCTGCACAAAAATCATGGTAAAAAATTCAATAAATTAAATTGTTATTGACATTATAAATTAATGTAATTATTGTATAGTTAATATGTAAATCTTTTTCAGCCAACTACTTTCCGATTTGACTCGTGAATATAACTTTAAGCTAATTTTTTACTGTCTGAAACAGTATCGATTTATACATAAGCAAATAAAATTTATGAAAATGTCGGAGACAAAATTGCTTTTGGAAAAACAACTTACAATCGCGGCGCAATATTTTCAGCCACATGTATCTTATTCAGTCGTAAAATTGTGGTTAGATAATATAGTGCAAACAGTACTATCTCGTTTAAAAAATAAATATCCAGCTCATTCAATTTGCTCTACGACTTTAGAGCAATTTTCTTTTTGGAGAGATAACAATATTGATGACAATTTCTGGAATGAAACAGAATCCAAGCAAATTATGTGTATTCTTGAAGAATATATATTTTCGGAGTTAGAGATCCATAAATTACATCAATTATTAATGTCATCAGATCTCGAAGCCAAATATATAAAATATGTGAGTTATTCTAAATTATATTAAATTATAATAATAATTTGTTATGCGCTGCGCAAATATAACTATCATTTTTATATTTTATAAATGTTTAATGTACAAGTTTTTAAATATAATTTAACATAGATTGCAGGACGTTTCCGAATATATCTATTGACTGTCACGTATCATATTGTAGCTAGAAGGCTCGGCATATGCAACGTTTTGAATGTAACATATAAAGAAGACATTGTAGTTATATGGAAACCAGAATAGTAAGTATAATTTTAATTTATTGCTAAAATTCTTTCAATATTTCTTGATACATACTTTTTGTAAAGATATTTTACGGTTTCTTATTTGTCTTAAATTGATGAAACAAAAAAAGATTGTAGCATAAAAATATCTTTTTCTCGAACATTTAATAACGTTAAAAAATAAAATATATAAAAAATAAAAAAAAATTTTCTGTCAGATCTCTTCGAAAATTTTTTCAAAATGTAGCTTGTTGCGCAGTTGAGATTTATGCACAATATTTTTAATCGGTCTATCGCAAATGCTACAAAAATTATAAATATTGATTACAATATACATTCTATATGTTTAAACGCATTTATTTGTATATAAAAATGTTTTTCTTTCTATTTTCAGTAATACAAACAATTGGGATAATGCAGAGTATTTTCATATAAACCAGAATTCCAAGCTACTTTATCCATCGAACATTGTCAAAAGGAGATATCAGAATAATGAACTTATACTGGCGGAGCCATCAAGTGATATTGAGGTTGGTAATTTTTTATATTAATTTTAATAGTAATTAATAAAAATAACAATCAATTATAAGTCTTGTAAATAATACGTTAATTTAACGAATCTCAATACATTTTAAATCAATGAGTGAAATTAATAATCTTTTCTCTATTTCTTTTTGTCTATAATTGAATTTTTTTTTTAACTAAAAACATCTCTGCTTTTAGTTGACACAAGAGATAATGAGAAATTTCTACCGTAAACTAATGTATAATAATTATGATTGCGAATGGAATTTCAACGTCTTCTTCAATTTCCTAAACCAATGCTATGATGAAGATATTGGAAACATAGATATTGAAACTGAATATGAAAACATTACGAATATAATAGAGGTAGGTTATAATGCATATAACTTAATTACATATAATGTAACTTACATATAATGTAATTTAATATCTTAATATTCATATATCAATATATGAAGAAATTATATTAATTATAATTATTTATAACTTAAGTTAAGTCATTACATTATTTTAAAAATTGCTTGTGTGACAAGATATCAATTGAATTTTGCTATTACGTTTCCACAGATTAGATCTAACGCTGTAGTAAATAAACCATTAAAAAGAAGGCCAACAAAGTTTAAGTTTGCCGTTGGAATGATCGTAACGCATACATGGTTCGGTCATTTCTGTGATAATCATGACGGTGTAATAGTTGGGTGGCACCATGAATGTGAAAGAATGTTTAAAGACAAATTGGAAAAGACTATTATGTTCCCATATCTACGTCAATTCAGTAGACATTATCACTTTTGCATGTGTAAAAAATTTTCAAAAAGTGCCCGTCAACCGCACTATATAATTCTCACCGAGAATAATACAATATGTTATGGGCGACAAGGTATGATTGTTAGTAGCATTTTTATAAATCACGTGTTTTATGATCTTTTATCTGTACAATGTAAATTATATCTTTTTTTTTAGATCAACTATCGATACGTCCACCAAGAAAGATCAAGAACATAGAAATTGGAAGGTATTTCTCCAGATTCGAAGGCACTTATTACGTACCGAATGAAAGTTTAAGAAAACGTTATCCAAAAGATACTGCTACAATAGCCAAAATACTTGCTAAACAGTAGTTTTTATAGTACACAGTGTCCCAAAAGTCCCGCAATGGTCCAATATCTTTAAAATAAGATATTTTTGAAAAAAGTGTTTCAAATAAAAGTTGTAGAATTTTAATTAGCGCATTAAGTAGCAATTAGTTTTATAAAAAGCAACTCTCGAACTCTCAAAAATAAAATATTTTTGAGAAAAATGTTTCAAATAAAAGTCGCAGTTTTAAGTGGCACAGTAGTTTTAGCAATGTTAAATGTGACTTTAAATAGCATTGTTAAGATCACGTAAAAAAAACTTTAAAATTTTTAAATAGAAACTCCCATTTTTGATTGTATATTCTTGTAGCTTATCTTATGAGCTTTTCAAAACATTATAATAAAGTTCTTTTCCATTAAGTATTTTCCGAGTTATAAGGCTTGAAAGGTACAGTACCGCCAGCATTAGTATTACCCGAAAGTGATTTTTACGTGATTTTAACAATGCTATTTAAAATCACACTAACATTGTTAAAACTACTGTGCCACTTAAAACTGCGACTTTTATTTGAAACATTTTTCTCAAAAATATTTTATTTTTGAGAGTTCCAGAGTTGCTTTTTATAACACTTCTCGCAAAAAAAATATTACTCATTTTAGCTCTTATATTATGAACGATATATGTACATATGTATATAGATATAGGATATTATTTCATAAATTTTATAAATCTTACATTGTAAAAAATATATTTTTTATATTTTTTTTAGCTGTAGATTTAATTGAGTAAGAAAAATAAAGATTTATATTGCATAAAAATCTGTGTATAACTTATTTAAAAATTAAAATATTAAAATGCAAGATTTTGAAAAGATTATTGTAAATATATGATTTCAATATTCTGCACATGTGCGGAAGAATTTCGAAACATTTTTTCTCATAAGTAAAGATTGTTATATAGCCATAGAAATTCTCAAAATATATAATTAAAAATTTTATAAGTATTTTAAAAGACGTATTGCTAATTCTATGACATTGTTTAATATAATTTTTGAAAGTTAAAGTACTTTTTTTGTCTTAATTTTAGATGTTTTAAAGCGAAAGAAACTATAACACAAACAGATGAAAAGAGAATTGTTTTACTATTTAAATTACTATTTAAAAGAACAAATAGAAGCAAGTGCAAAAATATATCAAGAAACTATAATATTATGTATTTCTGATGTCGTATAATAAATTCTTGTATTTTAATAAAAAAAAGACATTTACTTCCGCATTTTACAATCGTGAATTCTATGATTTATTATTTTGTTAATACGAATATGACCTGAATAGAAATATTTTTACACAATCACTATGGTAAAATCGAAGAAACTAAATTGTTATTAACATTACTTGTTAATGTAATTATTGTATAGTTAATGTATTAGCAAATGTAAATTTTTTTCGAGCAACCGAGTTACAATTTGTTGAATACATAATTGATTACAGTAACTCTCTAACTCCTCTTCTTCATCTTCTATCATGTTCCCATTCAAAATATTCCATTTTGATTCCTCTATAACACTTTTGAAAATTAGCTAAGGCCATAACAGCATAAATGAAGAATATTTTTTAAAAGGTCTATTGTTAATTTTTTATAACACTTCTCGCAAAAAAAATATTACTCATTTTAGCTCTTATATTATGAACGATATATGTACATATGTATATAGATATAGGATATTATTTCATAAATTTTATAAATCTTACATTGTAAAAAATATATTTTTTATATTTTTTTTAGCTGTAGATTTAATTGAGTAAGAAAAATAAAGATTTATATTGCATAAAAATCTGTGTATAACTTATTTAAAAATTAAAATATTAAAATGCAAGATTTTGAAAAGATTATTGTAAATATATGATTTCAATATTCTGCACATGTGCGGAAGAATTTCGAAACATTTTTTCTCATAAGTAAAGATTGTTATATAGCCATAGAAATTCTCAAAATATATAATTAAAAATTTTATAAGTATTTTAAAAGACGTATTGCTAATTCTATGACATTGTTTAATATAATTTTTGAAAGTTAAAGTACTTTTTTTGTCTTAATTTTAGATGTTTTAAAGCGAAAGAAACTATAACACAAACAGATGAAAAGAGAATCGTTTTACTATTTAAATTACTATTTAAAAGAACAAATAGAAGCAAGTGCAAAAATATATCAAGAAACTATAATATTATGTATTTCTGATGTCGTATAATAAATTCTTGTATTTTAATAAAAAAAAGACATTTACTTCCGCATTTTACAATCGTGAATTCTATGATTTATTATTTTGTTAATACGAATATGACCTGAATAGAAATATTTTTACACAATCACTATGGTAAAATCGAAGAAACTAAATTGTTATTAACATTACTTGTTAATGTAATTATTGTATAGTTAATGTATTAGCAAATGTAAATTTTTTTCGAGCAACCGAGTTACAATTTGTTGAATACATAATTGATTACAGTAACTCTCTAACTCCTCTTCTTCATCTTCTATCATGTTCCCATTCAAAATATTCCATTTTGATTCCTCTATAACACTTTTGAAAATTAGCTAAGGCCATAACAGCATAAATGAAGAATATTTTTTAAAAGGTCTATTGTTAATAGACGACAAAATACTTTTTTATACATCTGAAACTGGTTATCTCGAAATGTATAGAACGTATTACAATCATTTTAATCTCATTTAAAAGATAATTTAATTCTCTACAACTTTTGTTTTGGTAATTTTTGTTAAAAACGCATATTTTCCCTGATATTTGTAAAAATGTATAAAATATATAACTGTAATTTCAGAGTTCTTTGGGCGCTAACCTTTTAAGGAAGCATTTTTTGACCTATGTTTATAGGAAACTTTTTGTTCAAAATTAAATTTTCTATAAAATCTCAAAACCTTCCTGGCCGGAACGTTTAGACCCATCTTGTATATGAATTGTTGAATTAATTAAGGTAAGTTAAAAAATATACCTTACGTAATAATTAACATAATTATAATCATATTAAATTGTATAACACTAACTTTTTGTATAATACTGTACCTTTTGCGATTATATTTTACAGAAAGTAACTTATAAATATAAATGTAAAATTATAAGATATATCATAAATATAAAAAAGAAACGTTTCTTTTAACATTTTTCGAGTGGACATTTTAACCTACAAGAAATATTTCTGAAAATTGGTTATAAAACATTTCAAACAAACATATTTTCGAAATATTTCTAAAACGATATAAAGTGTACTACCTCAGTATAACTCGTTTTAACTTTGTACAACATCATGCATTCATCGCGCTTGCTAAAACATCACTTATTCCATCGCATCGCAAGTCGCTTCTATGTTATTACAATCTTGTCATAATATTATTCCTACGTTTCGTCTTTTAGATATTTTTTTTATTCATCGGAGTCTTGTAATCTAATCTAAATGATACTAACACACACACACGCATATAACAGAAATAAAATGATTCATTTACACTAAAAATAATTTTTTTTTATAATCAAATAAATATATTTTAATTTTAATTTTATTTTAATGTTTAACATTTCAATGTTAATTTTAAAACGTCAAAAATTAAAAAAATATTTTCGAACAAAGTAATTTTTAGTATAATAAAGATAAAAAAACGAATTTTTTTATTTATTTGTAAATAAAAACATACTTTGCTTTTATTTTATATTTTATTAATTCAAATATATTTGCTGCTTGATTGAAATAACTAATTCTTTTGCAAATATTTAAATAAATAATTTCTTAAATAAAAAAAAAAATTTTGGATTTAGTATATTTTTTTTTAGTGGGGCAATAGTGAAATATCCTTAAACTAAACTTTTCTCTGATAACATTCGCGATCCCCCTTTTGCGAATCCGCGAAACGTCTTTCGAAAGCGCGTGTTCCAGCTACGGGGCGACATTCTTTCGCGTCGCTTCTAGAGTAAAACGATCGAACGCCGCTTCTCTAGCTGAAAACACATTCCCTGCCATCGCGCCGAAGAGAATTTGCATTTAAACGCCTACCTTACGTAAGAGCGCGTTCAGGAAACGGCCGAGAGAGCCAATTCGTCGACTCTTAGAAGTCGCTCCGAAAGACACGGCGTGCTCTTACATCGTCTTAAATTATCGTCGCATCGAAATTGCTCGGGCAATACTTCGACGCGATGCGAGTTTATGCGGAGAAACAATCGGTATTCGTGAAAATGAGGCATAAGAATATCGATTGTTTCGGTGAAAAGGATAATCAATCGATTAAAAACAGATTTTTCAAATACTTACTAATTAATGCTAATTAATTTGATAGATGCTTGCTTAGACTTCAGAGTTAATCGCGTCAAGTACTCCCGTAGTACCTCGCAAAATTTGATTTACATACAATTAACTTGGTTCTTATTAATTAATTTAATTTCAAAAACAATTAAATAATTATATTAAATGAATTTCCATTTTAATTAAATTTAAAGTTAGTTTAATTTTAGTTCAGTTTTAAAATATAATTTAATTTGAAATATTAAATTAAATATTATTAATATTAATATTAATATAATATACTTAATACAATATAATATATTAATATAACATAATTATTTATATTATTTAATTTTAATTCAAAATATATAATCAAGTTTTCATTCTCAATTCAACAATCTTTAAGAAACTGAGAAACGAGCTTTTCCCACACCGCGCAATGGAAAGAGGGGGAGTGTCCATATCTCGGAATAAAATAATAAACGCGAGATGCAGATACAATCTAATCCGTCACGATACGATGCGCTACGTGTTGACGTTCGATATGAATTACAGCAAGCGATCCGACTTTCTCGCTCGCTATATCTAGCCCCGAGCGGAGCAGAGAGAAAGAAAGAAGAAGAGAGAAAGAGAAGAGTCGGCTTAAAACAAAGTTGAACTTTCGGTAAAGCGTGATTTCCCTGGCGTGCGCCGAGGATGCGGATTAGCATACAGACGGACCACCCATGATACGACCCTGTCCGTTCCTTCAGCGG